CGCCTAACGACCGTTTCTTTTAATCTCTGTTCGCCGTACTCAATCTGGATCGATCGGGATGCGTGCTCCGGCATTTATGAACAGCGATATTGAGAGTCCGGGGCATGCGGCCCGGAATTTCAATTTAACTCTCTGCAATCCGGCAACCGGCGACCGCCGTTTGATTTATGGCCGCAATAGCTCGCGTTCCATCGATGCTCTTTATTACTGGTACCAAGACGGCGGGAGCGCTCGCCCTATAACGGCCCTTTGATTTTTTTGCTTTCAAAAACGAAAATCATAAAGTGCAGGAAAAGGCCGCGCCTGAGCCTTTAAAGTAAATCCGTACTTTACTAAACTTTAGCATTCTGAGCTTACAATATTAAGAATGAAATATAAATTCCTTTGACAAAATGTGCGATTTGAGTGTTTTATTTGAAAATTATCTTTTGTGTGTACTTGAAACCTATTTGACGTATAACTGTCATGCTTGGAGGGAATTATTGTCTTCAATAGAGCTAAATGAGCTACATAGCTCTGGTTGACAACTATTTCGGATGTTATATAATAAAAACAAATAATACCGGGTGCTATAATAATTAAAATCTTGGAAAAGGTTGAATCCTAGTTTGATTTTGGTGGCCATAATATGCATGAAATATTAAGAAGTTATGCTACAAATCTTACGAAGCATGCTAAAAAATTAAAAATCCAAACAAATGTGATTTTACTTCTACAAGGTTGTCAACAATGATTCAATCGTTTCAAGTATAAGGATTTATTTCAGTTCAGTTTCTTACTTATTTCATAATTTGAACAATTTTCAACAAATTTGGACCAACCAGTTTTTGGGTTCAGTGGAATAATTCATTATAACGAGCTTTTCTAAGCAAGATATGGTGTAAGGCGTAAGTATTTTCAATTGGAGATAAAATCACGCTTGGAAACAAGAGAACCGTCATTTGGTGAAAGAAATTTTCAGCATGCATTTTTAATAACTATTATGAACTACCAGAGCGACTCAACGATTTTTGCAGCAAATTTTACTTCTACAAGGTTATCAACAATGATTCAATCGTTTCAAATATAAGGTTTAATTTCAGTTCAGTTTCTTTCTTATTCCATAATTTGATCAATTTTCAACAAATTTGGACCAACCAGTTTTTGGGTTCAGTGGAATAATTCATTATAACAAACTTTTCTAAGCAAGATATGGTGTAAGGCGTAGTATTTTCAATTGGAGATAAAATCACGCTTGTAAACAAGAGAACCGTCATTTGGTGAAATAAATTTTCAGCATGAATTTTTAATAACTATTACGAACTACCAGAGCGACTCGACGATTTTTGCAGCAAATTTTACTTCTACAAGGTTATCAACAATGATTCAATCGTTTCAAATATAAGGTTTTATTTCAGTTCAGTTTCTTACTTATTCCATAATTTGATCAATTTTCAACAAATTTGGACCAACCAGTTTTTGGGTTCAGTGGAATAATTCATTATAACAAACTTTTCTAAGCAAGATATGGTGTAAGGCGTAGTATTTTCAATTGGAGATAAAATCACGCTTGGAAACAAGAGAACCGTCATTTGGTGAAAGAAATTTTCAGCATGCATTTTTAATAACTATTATGAACTACCAGAGCGACTAACGATTTTTGCAGCAAATTTTGTCAATTCTATGAAAAGACTTCCAAATTCGGCTAAACATCTGGTTCGAAATTCTCTGGATGAAAGTTCCCTACATAGATGGATAGGCCGTAGTAGCTCGTAGCCCCGACGACCTTAATGCTGTAGCTTGGTTTGTAAGGAAAAAATCGCGTGAAGATCTCCTACAAAAGATTCATGAAGAAGTTGAGGCCATTCAAAAGAGAAAAGGTACCTTGTTCAGGTAAAGACAGCATTTAAATAATGAAATAATAAAATGTATTCAGGATAATAGCGGACATTTTGCTCAAATTATGAAATAATTAGTGTTACTTGTTACTGAAAATGTTGATATATTATTGTAAATTTATTACTATTAATTAATAAAAAATTATTAATAAAATTTTATTGTCAACTCCTACTTGGACGAACAAACAAAGAATCATCAAAGCAACATTAGGTGGCGGAAAGACTTGCTTATTTCAGTTTGTAATCGAATCGTTTTCATAAGGCGCTAATATCCGTATTAGATACTTCATCCAAAATTGAGAGAGTTTTGAATAAAAATGTTATATTAAAAATATTTCATAGAAACTAAGCTTAAATGTAGATTACTCACACCCCTAAAACCCATCTTCCAAATGTTTGCATCTTACTTCGACACCCTGCATCTTTTAAACGAGCAACATTTTGTTAGAGCATTTTAAACTCGAGTCGTATAATTACATTACCGACCAGCCTGTATATCTGACCGTTATATGTTTAGAAAAATTATTTACACATATAATTTTAGGGAAATAAGTGAAAACAGCAAAGTATGCATGACAACTATATTGATGACCCTATAATTACCTTCTTAAATTGCTATATATATATATATATATATATATATATATATATATATATATATATATATATATATATATATATATATATATATATATATATATATATATATATATATATATATATATATATATATATATATATATATATATATATATATATATATATATATATATATATATATATATATAAATGATAGAAGGCACACTATAATATCATATTATTCATCGTTTTCAAATAAATGGTAGATGATAAAAAGATATATTACATCGCTTACTACTCATAAAAATGCAGCCTTGTTTTTCGAAATATTTTTACACGCTTACATATTTCAAAAACGTTGAAAACAAACTGGATAAGAGTGAGTAATATGTGCTGGGTGTCTCATTTTAAAAAGATGAAATAGGAACCCTAAACTTCTTGATCTCATCGTGGGCGCTTATTTGAACATTTAATTCTTTCCAAAAAGTTGTATATAGATGGAAGATAACTTAGATGTAATACATTTTCAATTTCACCCAAATCGGAGTGCATTTACAGTCAAAATTAAAAACAATGTACGTACATATAAAGCGTTCAGCATTTAAAAACAAATTATGATTCTCAAATGAATGTGGCAATCTAAATTTCTGTTGAATCTTAATATTTTGTGCTCACTATTTTACAGTTAAAATATTTTTTTGACGACAGGAAACAAAAAGGAACATTGTCAATTGGACGTTCTCTTAATTAAAAACGATTTTTAGAAAGGAATGTTATTCTCGAAATAAAAAAAAAGTTTTTGTTCATTTTTATGACAACTCTAACTATATTTATAATTATATTATTAAATATGTTTGATTTGTTGGCATTAGGATGTTTGCTCTAATTTATTTTTAAAAATGTACATATTCAAAACCAAGCAAAACTTATCTCTATCAAAACTCCGCAAGAGAACTGCAATGTGTATAAAATTAGTTAGTAATGTTATTTATATTATTTATTCGTTAGTTGTTCAAAAAATATCGATAATGGAACGGGGGGCGGAGCGTTGAGGCGAACGGGCAATAAAACTTTGAAAATTGCGGAATTACGCGCACTCTCGCCTTCCCCGAAATTCGACTTGCGAAGTTTCCGGAAACTCCTCGACGGAAGTTTGGCCGCAAGCACGGGAAGGACGGGGGAGGGTGCTAACAGCCCCAAAATTATGGCCCGCTTCCTGTCTAATTAGTAAATAATTCACTGGTAAGCCGCCTCGGCGATTAATAAAACGGCAAGACGCCAAAAGGGTTGTCGGGGGATAAGACGGGGCGGCAGCCCCCGAAAGGATATTATTGCTCCCCCCCCGGTTTCGCAAGTATTCGTGTTTGGCGTCTCGATACACTTAATAAATGTCAATCCTTGTTAAAAAGCGGATTAGGGCGAGACACCAAACCACGAGAGGGCAAACAGAAAATGGCCGCGTTTAGGAACATCCAATTGTTGAAATGTTGACAATGTAAACCAATAGTTGCATACAGTAGACCCGTAGACTATACTGTTTAAGTTTTATTAGTATTTTTTTCGTGTTTTTAATTTATATTTTATCCTAAAAAATGCAAAAGAAGAAAAATGATTGCCAAAATTAACGTAACGTTATTAATTTTACTTTCGAATTAGAAAATAACAACACTTTTCGATGCCCAGACAACTTTATTAATCGAAAATGATTAACTTGAGGCCATTCCGTCTATAAAAATCGACTCATACTGATAGATACCTAAATCATCACTACATCATCATTCATCCCAAAGATCTTTCCTGGATAATTTCTTAAATTTAAAAGCAATATCACTGCCTCAACACGAATTACTTAACCAGGAATTAACACATCTCACCTCAGTTCTTCTCTCAAACCATTATCAAAATATGATATGTTCCATCAAGGAATACACTTCACCATAACCACTTAGACAAAGTAACTGCAGTTGACCCTACTTTAGTACTTCTGTATCTTAAAAATGACATGAAAAAAGAAGATAACATTCCCATCGAGAAAGCAGGAGTTTATAGTATCCAGCAACAGGTTGAAAAATATCAACCAGACTAAAAGAACACCAGACATTAGAACATCATCAGTTTCTGAACATTATCACGAAACAAGACACTAGATTTTATTCCACGAGAAAGCAAAACTTGCATGTAGCATTTTCTTCAAACCAAGTAAAGTTCAAGAGTCTATGGAAATCATCAAACATCCTGATAATCCACTCCCGTTGCACCCGGTAGGTGTTTAAGCTCCATGCAGAGCAACGGGCTTCTGTTTGAGACAGCGCTCTGAAGAAGCCAGCAGCATGTTTGATGAACCGTCAAGGGGACAGAATATAATATATGACGTAGAAGAAATCCAGAATAATTGTATCTACAAGTCCCACAGCTTGTGAAAAAAAAAATTAAAAATAGTCTATTCCTCGTGTTGGAGTGAGTACATACTCGAAAATAGTCCTCGTCCAAAAAGTTTTAATCTCTGTGGGTCCTTTCAACTCTTGCGTCATAGGAAATACTCACCGGTATGTATGTAGGTGTGCTTTTTCATGTCGGACTTTTGGTGAAACCTCTTGCCGCAGTATTGGCAAGGATAAGGCCGCGTATCGGAATGGATCAGGAGGTGGGTTGACAGAGTCGATGACCTCTTGAAGGACTTCCCGCACTGCTTGCACTCGAAGACTTTCTCTACGTTGTGAACAGCCCTGCAAATGTCATATTTGCACCAAGGTTTCCTCTTAAACATCTTCTTTGGAACTGGATATTGTTCTTTACATTTTGTTAGCTGTTTAACAGTATATGAGTATGTTTAAGTATTTTTAGATCTGTCCCTTCAATTTCCTATAGATTACTTTCAATAACTTTCTGTCAATGGAAAGCGAAATGTAATTGGATAAAGCTGGCTAGACACATGCCCTACACAGGCTGTTTAATATGTCACTAGGGTCAGGCGTTTTTCTTCAACTATGGAAAACCAGTTTTATAACCCTCTTCCATAAGGGAGACGACCGAGCTGAAGTCTCGAATTATTGTCCAATTAGCAAAGTATCGATGATTCAAAAATGTTTGAATCAATTGTTAATGACAAAGATCTTACTAACTGTAAGAGGCAGGCGTAATATTGCTCTGTCAAGGGAAAATATACCCAAATTAACCTAAACTTAAGTCTTGGGAATGAATGGAATTCTACTGAAGTGGATAAGGCGTGCAAAATGTAAAAGTGGAAAATGTCATTTCCGCACATATAGCTTAACTTTCGAGGGTGCCACCGGGTATGTATAGTTAAAAGTATGTTAAAAGTGATTGTGAACAATTACAATCCGATATAGATAGTTTTGCTTTGTGGTGACTCCTAATGTAAGTAAATGTAAGGCCATCAGCCATAACATAAAACTGAACATTTTATTTGCATATAAACTGTCTAATGTATGCTCAATAGGAGTTCATTCTATCAAACATTTAGTAGTGATCTTAAATTCGCCTCTCACATTTGATGGATTTCTCGAATATCTACGTTATCAAGAGTGTATGTTGTGCTGTGGTGAGTGCAGAACTTACATAGTAACATTAGATTAGAGCGACTACAGAAGCGTTTTTTATATCGCATAGCCCATATATAAAATGAATATTCCAATGAAGGAAATTAACTACATACTGAATAATCAAACCTTGGAAGGCCATAGAAATTGTTATGATCCTTACTTTCCATTTAAGCTAGTGAATAATTAGTTTTCTTGTAGTGAACTTTTATTTACTATTGACTTTAATGCGAGAAAGACTAGACTAGCAGCACCAAAAATCAAAAATCTATTAAGATGCTGATTATCGTCTGTAATATAGCATACGAGTTCCTACCTGTGCTGGCTCAGGCTTATTTCGTGGCCAAAAGTCTTGTTGCACAGCTCGCAAGCGAATGGTCTCTTCCCGTTATGGGACCTCCTGGCGTGCACCTCCAAACCGTGAGGCGTGGAGAACATCTTCTCGCACTTGATGCACGAATAAACATCACCTATAGGCATCATCCCCGGCCTCATCAGAAGATGATGGTGTGGCGGAATACCCGCCGTCGGATTCGTCATCACGTGGTGCCGCAGCCTGTACAAATCTTCTGCGCTAGGGGTACTCAGTGGATACTGACCGCTCTGAGCTTGCCCGCTTGCCATGGCAGCAGCCACAGCGCTAAAGTATAACGACGTGGGGTTCGGTAGAAAGCCCCGTTCCTCCCCATCTTTCTGGGTATAGAAAGTCGACGGGAAGAAACCAGGATGTACGAAACTTCGAGGGAAGAAAGCAGCGTTGTACTCTTGAGCGCTCTTCAATTGCTGAGCGTCTTTCACCAGGTCTACGAACGGAGGATACAGGTACGACCTCGTGACCGATATTGTCTCTTGGTAACACGGCGTCTTGGGTGATTTTTTTGGATTATCTGGCCTTAGTAGAGCGCTTACCGAAAACGCTTCGGACTTTTTATTGGGTGAATCGCCTTTTTGAAGATCGGTCACGGAAGGAGGACGCGGTGACGGTGAGTGAGGAGGCGAATCTACTTCCAGTTCCGGAGAGGTATCGGGCGACGGTCGGGAGGGGGAACGATCCCATGCTGCTACCCGAACGGGACTTTTGTCGTCGCCGCTGAAATAGCTCAGGTTTTCGTCCTTGTGACAGTACTTGGTGTTGTTGTTGTTCGATCGTTCGTCTTCGTCGTCGGACTTGGAGACGATTCGACTGATGCCGAAAGTTATCCGTTCTGGAGAGAAGAATAGGGATTACATTTTGATGTTGACAAAAAATATACTCAATTTTGGATTCATTGTACCATAAGTCTCCATTATAAGTTATGCTGATATTGTATGAATTTCAGTGCTTTAATTTCAAAAATAAATGTTATTACTATTATAAGCACAAGTATTTAATAGTTTAATTACTTCAAATAATGATCAGATTATTAAGATAATGATCACATACCTAAATGTTAACAGAATGTAGATAGTCTTGGAAATACACGTTGCCAACAGTTATTAACAAATTCATTTTTTCCAACCTCTTTATATTCCATTTATATTTAAATATGGCCATCTAGGGACAACAATTGTAGTAGACCAGGTGAGTTCTGAAGTGTTCAAATCGATTTTTGCAGCGTCCTATTTTGTGTGTTAATTATTTTGAGATGGAGAGTCATTATTGAAAAAGAAAGAACTGTAAAATAGTTGATATTATTTATACTATACAAAGTTTTTTGTTTGGAGATATCAGATGAAACTACAAGTAGTAGTACATCAATTTATTTTAGACTCTTCAATTAATGGAGTCCCACCAGTCACTAATAGGGATATTATAAGTTATTTGGTGTTTTTTTTTACAGCTTGTGGTAGTACTATAAAGAACGGTACTTTTGTTTAATCAATGAAAAATGATCTCAACTCGCTTATCTCCAGTGTGTAAGTATATTTATTAAAAACAAATCATATTTTGAACATTGACGAATATCTTAAATTAAATAGTTCATGTGTGTTTAAAATGACGGGCAATTGTGTTTGAAAAAGGTTCATATTTATTGTTATTCAAATATTTGTATCTAATCCGCAATATTGCGATTTTATTATATGGTAGCCGAATGTGTTCTTAAAACAAAGAAAGTGTGCAAGAAACATGTGGAACATGTGGTGTAAATTGAGAAACTGTTCCCAATGCATCTTGGTATTGCAGCCGATGTTGTGATTCAAAATAGAATTTTTAAAAAAGCATTTTTTATTTAGTAAAACAATAGTTTTGTTTTTTACTTCCAGCTTTTATTAAAACAGATGTAAGACTTCGGTAGTTGTTTGTTTTATTATTATAACTTGTGTGTAATGTTTCAAATTTGAAATATAGACGTTATTGTAATATTAATTTTATTTTACATAAATCACTTTGGTGTTTACAGCCCACACATTTGGTAATTAGTATTTTAAATGTACAAATTTTAAAATATGCCAAACGTTTAGGGTGTGAAGGAAATCTTTATAACTTTATAAGGGTGAAGATCAACTGATTAAAGCTACTGAATGCTGTGGTACTCGTAATGGAAACATATTCCTTTATCCTTTCAAATATAAACAAAAGAACCATCCAAAGAAAATATAATATTAAAGCATTAAGGTATATGGTGATTTTTCTTTCATCTTTGCTCTAAATCTTTTGACTGCAAAACTAAGCTGTTCCAATTTTAGTTGGAGTAGATTTTCCAGTGGGATTTCAGTTTTCCTTTTCTCTTTGCTTTTTTGAACTGCAAAAAAACTTACTCGCTCGCGGTTTGAGCGGTTTCCACAAAAAACTACAACACAGGCATTTTCATCCTATTTCATATTTTATGTCTTTAAAAGTAATACAGTATTAATACAATAACGAACACGAATGCTTTTTCACAATGCTAAAAAACGTAAAATACACTGTCAAACCAAAAATTAAAACACTTAAACACTTTCAACAGACACAAAATAAGATCATATGCTAAAAAACAAATAGTTTTTCCAATAAAGAAAATTTCACAGATCGTTAGATTGCCTAATCTCTTCTCAATAAATAAGAAAATAAATTTTAGTTCACTAAATCTCAATATACCAACTTTAAACGTAAAGGGGTTCAAGATGGCCAACTTGTTGAAGGTTCGATAATGTTCATTTCATAAAATATGTAAATTGGAAAAAACAGTAAAACATAGAGTTATTGCAACTAGAAATGTGGTAGCCTTATTTGACAAGAAAAATAAAGATCGGGATTGACTGCTATGCCTAAAAACCAAAAAACATAGTTTTTGTTTTTTTTCATTTTAGATTCCATTATAAGAAATTATAGCTTCTACTCTCAGTTGTTTAACGTACTTTTTTTTAAGTTGGTTAATCAAGTGCGCATTAAAAAATTATACAGCCAAAAGATTAAGACTTGAACACTAATAAGTCTTTTTAACTTTTGCATTATGGAATTTTGTAACTAAGAATCCATATCCAAAAAAAAAACGGCAATATTGATTTTTAATGGGAAATCCTTTTTTTCGTTTTTCGATTTATATTTTCGATCGATACAATCACTACAAATAATTTTAAAAATAACAATTATGTTTTACTACGGAAAATTATCAAATCGACCAGAGTAAAGCCTAATCTCGGCAAATCAAAATTAAAACCCATTCAGAATTCAGAAATGCCGAATATATTGTTTTCCGAAAAATAGTATGATAAAGTCATTCAAAATGAAAGAATATCGTGAAAGTTTGAGCCGTAAATATTGGCGGGAAAAGGTCTAACCGCCATTTTGGAAACCAAAAGGACTTATGCCGATTTTTTGTTTGTGCGCAACCTTTTTTTAACCAATTTTGGTTAGCTTTGCTTTAGTTAATTACTCAGACAGTAGGAAAATGAATAATGAAGTACGCTTAAAATCATTGCAAGTGAGAGAACATGCAGAGTAGTTCGAAAATAACAATTATTTTTCCCAGCTGGTTTAATAATGCTATCATTTTTTAAAACAATTTATTGACACCCTGAACAGAATAAGATTACATGTCAAAGGGAATAATCACCGATGTAGATCTGGTTGGTGTTCGACTTAAACAAACCAAGCGAAAAAGACCGGCAATTTTGAGATTTAGCTAGCTACATTACCGGCCATTCAATGTGTATGCAAATAAAATAAACGGAAGCACGGGAGCGTCGACGAGTCGCGAAGTAATTTTAAGATTAGAATGGAAATTAAAGGACGCGACGTGAATCGAAAGGGAAGTTCAATATCCTTATTGTCCTTAACAAGGTAATTGGGGACAAGGCTCTATCCGAAATTCATTTGCAACCGGGATGAAAGAGCGGAGCAAAAGGATTTAAGAACTTTTCACGCGGGAAATTGTCGTTGTCGGTTTAAAGCAAAAGAGGCAGCGCATTATTTTCGAAAATCTCTTGGGTCCGGAGCATTTCAATCCTTAACTAGACCCTAGGCCATGCGCTTTGGTCCTGATAAACTAGTTTTCAAGGTTTTATAAGTCTTCTTTTCAGGGGAGTGGTTTCAAAATAATGGTAGTGTGGGTTTTATTAATTGATTAAACAGCAAGGGAATTTTTGTGAGTGCTATGGGACGGCTTACTCCTCATTTCACAATTTATCTTGATAACATTTTAATTGGCTGTAAATTTTTTGCTTTTAAAGATATCAATATATCAAAAACCAAAATGTAGGGTTAGTAGCCAAGTTTTTTTCCAAGTGACGTATAAAACAAAACACTATCAATTTTCTGGAACACCATGTATATTATATACGTGTTTAATAGAATATCTTATTCCGATTACAATGATGTAAAACACTTTATATTTTAGTCCAATCATTTTCGACAATTCGGCAAAAATAGGTCTTTTTTTACAATTTCAAAGAGTGCCGTGATTGATGGCAACAAGAATAATTATTTATAAATTAAAGTAGAACAAAAGCAATAAAAATGACGAGACACACTAAAGTAAAAAAATTTTTAACTATTCTAAGCTGAACACATTTCTCATACACTCTAATTGTACGATGTAACGTTTCCGGATTTTCTCTTAACTGATCGATTGCCTCTGAAACTCTTTGCCGAAGTTCCACGACGATATTACAATGAGTTCTGTGCACGTAATTTTTTATATATCCCCAAAACAAAAAATCCATTAAAGTTAAGTCGGGGCTGTTGGCTGGCAAATCCATAGTTTGGACGTTCCCTATCCAACTCCTGAGATATTCCATGTTAAGAAAAATTTTTAATTTGCACAACATTGTAAGGAGGGGCACCGTCTTGCTGCCATAGAATCAGCGCTGATATATTTACGGATAAATCTTCTATATATTGTTCTATTTGGTGCTCTAGGAGTTTGCATATAATGATCTCGAGTTCACTTTTGCTCTATAAATATCGGACCTAAAATATTCCCATCTATGACATCATAACATACATTAATTGATTGGTACCCCTGGGTATTTCTTTCGTGTATTTGTCTAGGACTATTTAAAAACCAATATCGAGAATTTTGTCTATTACAACCCTTTCTTGTAGTGAACGAACTTTCATCAGTTCATAAAATGTTTTTCAAAAAATTATTACTCTCATTATGTCTATACCTTTTTAGCATTTAATACATTATCGTTTCCTGCAAATTTCTTTGCCAGCCTTGAAAATATCAGAAAGTATACTTGAAACACTCCTTTCACGAATGTTAAATTCGGATAAAACCATTTTAACAATAATGACTTGGAGAATAATTCAATCATCAGCATTGTTTACTAATATGTCAAACATAAACATATTTTTATTTGTCAATCATGTCATGTTTATTTTGAAATTATATAAAAATTTCCTATTTTTACCGATTTGTCAAAAATGAGTGGTCTAAATTATAAAGTGGATATATCATTGTAATCGGAATAACACATACATAATATACAGGGTGTCCCATTTAAAAAATATGATGTAGGCTTATATGTCAGAAAATTGATAGTGTTTTGTTTTATACGTCACCCTAGATTTTGTTTGTTTTTACATTGATATCTCCAAAAACAAAAAAGTTACAGCCAATTAAAATGTTATCAAGATAAATTGAAGGCACGGTACTTTTTCTTTCTTAATATCACACAGCAAAAATTTGTGAGTGTTATTCCTCACGAAATGGTCCTTCTTCAAAAGTTAAAGTCACTGTTACTATTAATCATCTTTTTTTATTTTATTTTATTTTTTTTTATTTTACTAGTACTCAGC